GGCTGCTTTTCCGGAAAAGCGTCTGTGGCCAATGTAGACGCGCTTTTCTGGAAAAGAGCCCCGAACGTCATTTTCGTGATCGGGGCTTTTTTCCGGAAAAGACTACTGGGCTGTCTACACTGGCCCTTTTCCGGAACAGTGTTCCGGAATAAGGACTTATGCCCGAGCAGGAGCAGAATAGTTTTTCCGGAATAGCGGCTGATTTTGTACAGTAGAGCATCATTGCTTTTCCGGAAATTCAAGGGCCAGTGTAGACAGTTCGCAGCTTATTCCGGAAAAGTGGCTGATTTTCCGGAATAAGTGGCCCAGTGTAGACACAGCCTCCGGGTTTGCAACAGAGACTGAATCAATCAAACCTTTTGCAAAGAGAGCTCCTTCCTGGTCACGTGAGCCAGATTCTGGTGATTCTTTAGTGCAAGGATGGTAGAACTGTGGACTTCACCAAAAGCATCAAGGATGACCATACATATCAACAAACAGCTAAAAAGCTGGCAGCTTGCAGATTTTCTAGACAAGTGATCAGTTCAGGAAGTGTAGTAAGAGGTTAAAGAATGAGTATAGGAAGACCAGGGACAAGAACCTCACTTCAGGCAATTCCCCAATGACATGTACATTTTATGACAACTATAACTTGTTTCTGGACACTGCACTCAGCACAGAGGCAACAGTGCTTTATGACGACCTGGTCAGCTGGGCCAGTACCTTGCTGATCCCTAACTCCATCCTGGGGACTGAAGGGAGATAGCAGCAGGCATGAAGTGATTCTTAATGAAACCAGTCCCCTGGTAGATCAGGATCAATGGCAAATTCTCAGTTTCTATTTGTCAGAGCTATCTGATTTCTCTCTCTACCTTCCCAACCCCCAAACAGCCTGCAGTGAACTCAGTGGAGAAAGAAGTCCCCCCAGAGCCCAGTAAGTGTCTGACTCAAATTAAAAGTTTAATTATTATTTTGGGAGAAATTTCTGCCTTAAGCAGTCATGCAAAGTTAGTTATCCCCAACTACCACTATTTGGCCGCTAATGGAAAATTGTGTCACAAGCACCTTGACCTCACTCCCTCTTCTGTCCCCACCACATGGGGTTGAAAATGACAACTTGGAATTTCAAACATTCACACATAGTTGTAAGTGCTATTTTTACTGTTAAGTCGCAGACATTTGCTATGTCATTCTTGTTTTCCTTTCAGGAATAAAAAAAATTGCCATTCTGTAAACATTCCTCCTGGGTCTATGCAGCTGCGTATAAACTGTGAACAGGGTGCGTGTATGTAGGAAATAGAATACTATTTCCAAATCTATTCCATTTCACATAGAGGTAATCCATGTAGCAGTGTAGGAAAGCTGCAGATTTTCAGTGAGCTTGCGTGCAGCATTAACAGGAAAAGCCGTGTGTGAGCTAACACAGCAGCAAATCAATTCTCCTCATGGATTCTGCAGGCAGTCTTGACTGCTGACAGCTTGAAACTTTTCCTGAAGCAGAAACTCCAGATAGTCAGTGGCACTGTGGGGAGGGATGTATTTTCTCTGTTTCCCCACCACCACTTCCACCTGCATGCTGACCAGTTCACTCCACTCACAAATATACTCTTTGGTCACTACATGTTTAAATACATCAGCTGGATACACTGAACATTTCCCGGTAGCAGCTTGGAATAACATCTCCCTCAGACTTTAAGGTACCCAAAAGAAATGTTATATCTTCAAATACATGGATGGCCTGAAGTAACCAGCCTTTTGCTTATGTACACATTCTTCCCCATGGTAATTGTAAATGGGAAATTCTATGAAACAGAGGAAAGACTTTAAACTTAACATTGCCTCTAAACTTCTCTAACTCTGATAAACAAGGCTGTGTTTGGAGAAGTATGAGGACTGAAGCATCTCCTTTATGATGTGTGTGGGTTTACTTTAGAACTTTGTTACTTTTTATGTTCTTGAAATAGTACAATAATGAATGTTATGCTCCTCTACAGAGCTACTTTAAAGCAATACCTCTGTTTCTTATCCATTATGAACCTCTACTGCCTGCTGTTCTTTTGGAACTCAATCCCTGGCCCAACGTCTCCTGATGGAGCGTTCCAAAAGGCGCCATTTCCATGACAAACTTATGTCCTCTTGAGAGAACAGGCTAGCTGGTCCGGTGTCAGAAGAAGAGGGACAAAAACCTGGAACAGCAGCCTGCTGACAGCCAAGAGAAAAAGCTGAGGCTCACTGCCTAGCTGGAAGACAAGTTTCAGTGAGGGCACAGGAATGGTGGCAAAAGGAGGAGGACAGAACTCAATAGAGAGATCTGCTTCATCAACTCCTTCTACAATGACTGAAAGAGCACACCTGCCTCCCTCACACCATGGCACGATCACCCTGCAACAACCTCAATTACAGCAGGAGCTTGGACAACTGCAATATCGGGGTGGCCCTTGCATTCAGAATTCACGAGCCCTGGGCTGGGCAACTAACCCCCATATAGCCACCTTTCTTTCACCTCCGCCTCATTTCAGTGCGAACCTCCTTTCCCTCCCCCACTGCCAAGTGAAGTGTAAGCATACAAAGAAGGATAAAGGAGAACGTAGGGCCAGTGGATATGCAACAATAGGGGCACTGTGTTGGGTATGAACGATTTCCCTGTCCCTGTGCCACAGTGAGGGATGATTTTTTAGGCGTGTGATTTTATAATCTTCAGCAACACGCTAGTGAAATATTTTTTAAACAAATTTTAAACTAAGGTCCTATAGACTAACACAGTAAATTCAGAAACTGACAGTATACTGCTCGTACGGATGGGCAAACACCTGTTAAATGGCTTCATTGCCACCAGAATGGCTCTTTCACAGTTTCAATGTTCCGTTAATTGATATGGCAATATTTTTCACTTTTAAGTTAAATAGCTCCTCTTCGGAGAACAGGAATAGGAAGAGATAGGTGAGTCGACATGAAGACCTAGTGGTGCCCCACATTTTTGGGTGCAGAACACAACAGCATATGGATAAGAATGTCTCTGACTGCTCTCCCCAAAATAAGAGAACCACTATTCTCTCCTAGGAATACTTTGTATTCTCACACTGTATCCCTGATTTCTGCTGTCTGGGTGCAACCAATTTCTTCAGCATCAGGGATATTAAACGTAGGTTAAATTTAGGAGCTATGTGAGCCGGCTCAGTCCCTCCTTGCACTGGGTGGGGACCAAACCCTGCTGGGGCTCTGCAGTTTAAAACGCAGTAGCAGCCAGGGGGCAGGATGCCCAACTCCTTCTGCCTTTTAAATTGCAGAGCCGTAGCAGGGTTTGCTCCTGGCATGAGCTAGGACTGAGTGGGGCTGCCTGACCAGCCAGTAGCAGCCCCTGTCCATGGGGGTCTCAACTTCCCACTGGGACCTCCTGCGGCCATGGGCTGCTGCCAGAGCAGTCTCCTCTGCCCGCTCCCTCTTCTCATAGAGGCGGCAGGAGAGAGCAGAGACTGTGCTGGGGGGCACTGGCTTTTAAGCTGGCTCCCCGCATCACGGGCTCCTTCTTCCCTCCTTGCTGCCTCTCTTACATCCCTACTCAGCAGTATCTGCACTTTTTGGGTAAAGGCACTGATCCAGCATCCCCTCACATTCCTAGATCCATTCAGAGGGAAATAGCTTACCTGTGGCTTCACAGCAGTTGTGAAGAGCTAAGCAAGCCACAGTAATGTTGTGAGCACTGAATACTCTGGCATCCAAACATGTAGAATCCCAGTGGGCTGCAGGTTGCCCACCACTGGTTATGCAGCCCACTAAATGGAAGGAGGACCACTCACGTGGCCCACTCAATAGTTCTGGTTGCCCATCACTGCTATAGCCCTATCATCAGTTCCTTATTCCCCAGTTTAAAATACTCTTAAACAGTAGATCCGCAGAGTTACAAGCACCTCAGAAATGGAGATTGTTCGCAACTCTGAAATGTTCATAACACTGAATAAAACATTATGGTTGTTCTTTCAAAAGTTCGTAACTGCACATTGACTTAATACAGCTTTGAAATGTTACTATGTAGAAGAAAAATGCAGCTTTCCTTTTACTTTTTAGTAATTTACATTTAACACAGTACGGTACTGTATTTGCATTTTTGAGGGTCTCTGCCACCACCTGTTTGACTACTTTCAGTTCCACATGAGGTGTCTTAGTTCATAACTCTGGTTTTATAACTATGAAGTTCTTCTGTACTATACAAGTACCAACTTGGTTTCTGTTATTTACTAATCCTCGTGTAACATATGTACCAAGTCGTTCACTAGTGGTCATTGCAAGATGTTCAGGTACAAAGCTTTTAACTCTAATCTTTCCTTGTCAAATCATGATGTTGATGTGAGTTATCTTGGTAAAATTTAGTTCAAAGTATATTTAATAAATTAATACATTATCACAAGTGTAACTAATATTTTATCGCAAAATATCTAACAATGCATGACATGAAAGCTGTGAAATTTCTATTACTATGGCAAGTGTATTTTAAAGACTTTTTCAGTGTTTGGTATGAAATATCAAACCCTTTGCTTTGCAACTACCGTATTTTCCGGCGTATAAGGCGACTGGGCGTATAAGACGACCCCCTAATTTTCTAGTTCAAAGATAGGTTTTCGTCTTATACTCGCTGTATAAGATTACCCCCCCTTAAGAGGCCAACCAGCAGCGCCCCAGTGCCCCTCCGCCTCCCCGGCTTTGCTCTCGGTGTCCCTGGTCTGCTGGAGATGGTCCCCAGCAGACCAGAGGCACTGGGAGCAAAGCTGCGGCTTTGCTCCCCGTGTTCCTGGTCTGCTGGGGAGGGGGGGCGCAGCTAGTGCGCCCCCCTCCCCCAGCAGACCAGGCTTTTGTTGTGGACCCTGGGGTAGAGCAGCTGGGGTGCTGCTGGGTTGGTTCTGCAGGGACCTACCTGGCAGCCCAGCTGTTCTGTCCCAGGCTCGAGATTCAGCCGCTGGTGAAAATGATTAAG